GACCAGGGCAGAGTGTAGGTTAGTGAAGTTCTCAGCAGGAGGAACAGCACGAACAACGTGATTGGGGTAGACAACAAGAAAGGAAAAGGAACAAAAAAGTGACAGTGATGTTTTGTGCTTTTCTGACTTTCTACGTTAATAAAAGGACTGTCATCAGAAATGGGGGGGAGCAGAATGGAGGCAGAAATGAGGCAGGAAGGTGGGAGAAAGGTCATAGAAAGCAGAGAGCAAGGATGAGGAAAAGACAAAGTACGTGGGGATCCAGTCTGTTCCCTCTCACCCCAACCCTGTCTCCCAAAAAGCTTCCCCATGAACATATCAGCTCACATCCCTCCCTTCTCCGCCCTTCCCAGCACACTCACTGTTGGTCCTGCATGATTTAGCAATTGATCACCTTGAATTGCTCTATAATTGCTCCCTGTAAACATGCCCTAACTCTCCAGTAAGAGTTCATTTTCCTCAAAGACCAGTACCTTCATTTCTGCCCATCTGGCCTTCTCTGAAGAACCCAACTCAGTTCTAGGCACATGATCAGTACTTGGTGATTTGAACTGACATTTCACAGAGATGCATGAGGGATTCATTGGGATACATGAGGGATCCCAATTAGCTTGGGATTCGTTAATTGGGATTAATGTAGCAAAGAAACGCAGTACAGTTTCGAGGAGCCCTACAGCATACCCACAGGATCTCAATGTCAAGAATGGTAGTGCAGTGCAAAAACAGAGCACTGCAGCTCACTCATGATTTCTGGAGAGAAAAGGGTATTAGGTTACCTGTCCCAGCTTCCAGCTTACCTCCTCCAAGCTGTGTGGTTTAAGCGAATTGCACATCAATTAACTTCATCTATAAAATAACAACAATCATGATATCAAGTCATTGGATATCATTCAGAATCATTTTCATATAAGCAGCCTCTTGACACTTGCATTTCAAGCATGCAGCACAGTGTCGTGCCTTGCGCATAGTCAGTCTTCAATAACGTTTGTGGAATAAAAGAATAAACTTACAGAACTCAGGCTTTGCTCTTGGATGAGCTCACCAGAGTTAAATTCCCATCACTGATGGCAGGCAGGGCTGTCAGATTCCAGGTCACCTTAGAAGGTACTTGCACTCACCTATGACCAGTCTGAACAATATACCAACCCTTCTTTTCTGGCAAGCAAGGGAGCCTCCTTGGCTCCTGCTCTCTTCAGGAACACCTGGATGTCAGCCTGGCCCTCCACGTTCTGCCCTGATTCTGCTTTGGCTGCTGAAAAATAACAATGGAGCAAATGGCAGCTCCCACCAGTGCTTCTGGAGTGCCCGCCTTCCCTCCTCAGGACCCTTTTGGTGCAGCAGGAATGGGAGGCACATCTCACCCCTGGAAACATTCTTCTTGGCTGAAGGTCCTCCCTCCCCCATCCTGGGAGAGATTATAGAAGTGGCTTGAGGTGCAGTGTCTCTCCAACCCACCTTCCTGCCTGGGCTAGTTACAGGTACTTACAGAGTCTGTGTTGATTGTGCTTGCAAAAGGAGTAATCATGTGCCGACCTTGTAGGTTTCTCGTGGCCTTTGGATATCCAGTGCATAGTAAGACTTCAATAGACGGTAGCAGCTACTAACTTTGTTATCATTTACTGTTTCTGTTCCTGGTGGAGCAATTCACGTACTAAGTGGTGGATAATGATAGACCAGGGACTTTGTGCATCCCTTTTTAGTGAAACACGTGACTTAGATTCACCTTGCATCTCCTGGTCCTGGAGCTCTGAGCCTGAGTTCCTGAAAGGGTCATACACTGTTGGTGAGGTCTTGAGAGAAATGAGGATGAACATCGGTATCTCAGTCTAAGTGCTGCTCTTATAAAGAATAAGATTTGGAGGCCAAAAGCAGGTAAATTTAAGTCCCAGATTTGCCTCTCATTGACCATGAGACCCCGGGTAAGTCAGTAGGTGGGCCTCAGTTTCTTTGTGCACCCAGATAGGTACCTAATAATAACCACATTGGCAACTTAGGAAGAGCATGGGAAAATAAAGTGTAAATGGAGCAAGGGTGAAGATTTGCCTCCCAGACAATTCAGAACTGAAGTAATGAGAAAACCAAAATAGTTTTTTGATTAGAGCTGCCTACTGTCCTTATCTGTCTCTGGAGTTGATTTTTTTTATTCCCCCAAACCTGGGAACAAAGTCAAGAAAAGGATGAAGGAAGGAACGGAGTGGGCAGTGAGAGTATGGAAGAAATAAAAATTTACAGAGTCCAGATAGCAGGTGGCCTGCCCAGAGCAAACTCTTGATAGAGGGAGAATTCTTCGGTGGTTGTAATTTTTATTATTACGATGGTTATTGTTGGTAAAAAGACATGAAAGGGAATCCAGGTGGAAAAAGCGAACTCAAGCCAAGACATAGGGTGATGGGAGCACAGAGAGATGGACAGAGCTTAGGCTGAATTTGGTCAAGGTTGCAGAGCACCACATGCAAGCTGCAAAGCGGCGACCAGCAAACCAAGGCAGACTGATCCTTCCCACTCCCAACCTCTAACACCACCAATGACGCTAGTCAAATAGGAGGAACAGTTTAAAAGGCGTGTGTGCATTTGGGTAGAGATAGAGAGAGCATGTATGGAACACCAGGCACTGTGCAGGGCATTTACCCTAAATTATCTCATTTAATTGTCATATAATCCTATGAGGGAGACACTTACTATTTTAGAGCTGAGAAAACAGAAGCTCAGGGGAGAAGTGACCTGCCCAAGGTCACCTAGCTGGAGTGCAGGGATGGAATTGAACCCTGTCTGTCTGTTCCTTAAGTTTCTGCTGGGACATCACTCAGAGACTCTATACCTACTACAGCAGTCCCCCCTTGTCTGCCGGGGATATGTTTATTTCATGACCCCCCAGTGATGCCCGATATCACAGATAGTGCCCAACCCTGTATATTACTGTTTTTTTCCTATACATGTATACCTACACTAAAGTTTAATTTATAAATTATGCAGTTAGATATTAACAATAATAAAATAACCAAATAGAAAAATTTAACAATATACTGTAATAAAACTGATGTGAATGTAGGCTCTCAAAATATCTTACTGCACATAATAATTTCAGACTTATATTTGACTGCAGTAAGTGAGATCGTGGAAAGTGAAACCAGAGATAAAGGGGGACTACTATATTTGCTTCATTTGACATTTAAGGAAATTGAGGTTCAAGAAAGCTGCTTCCCACAGTTGCACAACCAACATGAAGCAAGGCAAGACTAAATTCCAGTTCTCCGTACTGCCAGCTCCGTGATCTCTCCCTGGTGCCTCACACATCATTGGAACTGACAACAAGAATCTTCCATCCCTGCTCCTTCTCTTCCTGCCTTTCTTGGCTTTCTTCCAAAACTTTGGGGGAGCAATAAAACAACTCAAGAGACAGAAAAAGGATGTGGGAAGCTCAGGCCCCAAACCAATTTGGTCTTTATACAACTTCCAACTGAGTTGCATAGGAGACAAGCTCGCTGAGCCCACCCCCAAACCCACATTGTTCTAATAAGTCAGTGGGTAGCAAGCAGACTAAAAGGCTGCCATATATTGCCCCCCTCTCAGTCCAGACTCAACCTAATCCAGACAACTTAATCCTCCATGTAGTAGTTTATTGCACAGACTTAGTATCCAGGCAGTCCTGGTCTGGAATCTAGCTCTGCCTTTACTGAGCTGTGTGAGCTTGGCTAAGACATGTACTCTCTCTGAACCTCAAATCTTTCATCTATAAAATTGGGACAGTATCTCCCAACTAAAGTTGCTGGGATGATTAATAGAAAAGTTATGCACAATTCAAAAAAGATAAACGTATGCAATTTGCAGCAACATGGATGGAGCTGGAAGGGATCATGCTCAGCGAAATAAGCCAGAAAGAAAAAGAAAATTACCGGATGGTCTCACTCATAGCAGGAATCTAGAAAACTTAAATAAGGGACCAGGAAAAAGAATATAAGAAAGAAAATATCAAAATCAACAAACAACTATGAACCAGAGACACTCTATGGGGGCTAGGGGGCGGGGAAAGGAGAGGTTGGGGTCAAAATAAGGGGGTTGTAATTGTATGGGGAATATAAAAATAAAATTTAAATTAAAAAAAAGAAAAGTTATGCACAAAATACCTTTTCCATAATTGTCGCTCATTGGAGGGTTAACAACTGTCCTGTTGTTACAGGATTATTATGGTTTGACCCAGTGAGTCTCAGGCTATAGACATGATAAATATAGGTTCACAATTCTCAGCCCTCCCACAAGTTTGGCAGTCCCTGCCATGTGCCATCACTCCATTGCCCATTACTCATGGCAGACAATGATCACTTATCACAGTACTTTTTCCTTCTGAGCTAGAATGTAACTCAGAATCCTTATTAACTTCCAGGCAGTTATTAACAAATGATTACAGTTGGTATGGAAAATAGATGAAGTTTAATTGCCTTCCAGTTCTGATCAAGTTCACATTTGCTGTTCCCTCTGTGCAGACCAGGCTGTCTCTCTGTTGTGTCTCCAGATGCTTTGTAAGTGCATGTCTCTGTGTATGTGTGTGTGTGTGTGTGTGTGTGTGTGTGTGTGTGTGAACTCCTCCTCTAGGCTGAAAGATCATTCCAGATGTTTGTTTTGGTTTATTTGTACAAATCTTTGTACTTTCAGGATCCCACTTGCAATCTCATTCCTGTGGATTAGAATCTGCAAGTAATATCAGTGCATAGCTGGGGGGGAGGTGGATGGATATCAAATTAGAAATAAAAAAATAAAATCCACATAGAGCACACACCATCAGCCATCCTCAGAGTGACACAAAGATGGTAGCTGAATATGAATTTGAAGTTTCAGACATTTAACATTCCATTGGCTGATGTCTATAATCTCAGAGATAGTCTTAGAAGAATTTATTCTCTAGGGTAATGCTAGCCGCTATAACAAATAGAACCTTATATTTCAGTGACTTAACACATACAATTTTATTTATAATTCAGATAGAAGTTCAATGTGAGTGGGCAACCAGTTTTGTTTTTTTTTTTCATGTGGTCACTCAGGCACCTAGCCTCCTTCCATCTTGTCACTTCCCAAACCTCAGAGTCTCTTTTTCATCTAGTTGAAAATGGGACACTGGTTCCTAACCACTATGAACATTCCTCATGCTCAAATTTCATTGGGGAGAATTTGGTCCATAACCCATTCAGATGCAGGGGCAGTGGGAGTGGATAGAGGTTGAAAATGAGCTCTCTGGTTGGGCCAGCAACAACTCTGTACTCTTGGATGCACACAATGGAGAGAACACGTTGAAATGCCACAGCCAGTAGACGGCAATTTGTTGATGGGCACCCATATTGGCTGGAGTCATGTCTGCGCAAGGTGTTTATGTCCAGCTGCTGTTTGGTCATCTTGGGCACAGAGAGCAGCAGCTTCAGAAGCAGAGATCAACTAGCAGGGTAAACACTATACCTGTCCAGGGAAGTATTGCCCTGCCCAGGGATGTGGCCTGTTTGATCCTGGTGTCAGCTACCTCCCTTCCAGGGAAAAAAATGCAGCAGATGGTCAGAGCTTGATGCCACTAAACATTCAAGTGGTTCAACCAGCCTCCAGATGATTCTAAATTCATCAGGAAACTTTCTTATCCCAACCTGCCTCCCCAGGGATGAGGCAGTGCTGGTCACGACCATTTCAGCAGCAATCCTCTTTTCCATGGCAGTTACATTTCTCAAAGTGCTTATATTTTGGTCTCGTGATCTGGGTTAATGGGAGTGTTCTCCTAACAGATGGATCCTTTCTGGGTATGCCAGCAAAATCAGGTTTCCGGACCACCAAGACTGGGGGCCAGAGCCTGGGGAACTTGCCAAGGTAAATGCCACCTTGTGAGGTCTCTGGGAAGCAGCCAGCAGTCTCCCTGGGCATCACTCCTGTCTCATCACCAAGCTTCTCTGGCCCACCCATGAACGTGTGGGAGCCACATTCACAGCCCTGTAGGTCTGGGTCTGTTTCCAACTGTACGTGGGACCTTCTGGCAGCTTCTTCATGATCTCTGTCAGGAAGGAAGCAGGAAGGAGAGGAGGTGAGAAAAAAACAATCCCCTACTTAGTTTTCCCTCCAAAGCATACCTTGTGAGCCTCGTCTGTACAGGATTTGGAACAAAGGAATCCTGGTGCTTTGATTATCGTGTCTGCAACGGTTGTTGAAATGAGTCTGACACTCACCAGTGCCTTAGTAGGAATTATAATTACATTGGAAAACCCGAGGCAACCGAGTAAACTGATTAGCTGCTTGCTCTGAGTTGATAGATTTTCCCCCCCTGTGGGTCATAAATAGGGCCATGAGAGATGGCAGAACTCCTTGGGTGGGAGCAGTCCGTGTGGGGGCTGTATACAGCCGAGAATCCAAACTGAGCGTTACTGAGAATCCAAACTGAGACAGACCATCAGTTGCCCACCTGCTCTTGCCTGGGGTGTCTTGGCTCCCTCGGGCCAGATTTTGTGCTCTCATCTGCAGGGGAAGGAAGCCCGGCTAAGGTGAGTTCTAAGAGCAGGTTGATAGTGATTGGACTGTTAGGTGATGCTCTGGGAAGTCCTCCCCCAGGAAAGTTGAAGCTTTCTGCCAGGCATAATTATTGCATGGATAATTACACGATTCAGAGCCTGCTGGAGAATCTTGAGCTGGTGCCAAAACACAGAGGCAGGGTGCTGGGACTGCGGCCGGTGACTGCTTCTCAGAGCTGAGTTTCAAAGAGGAGGGTAATGGTTCAGCCTCTTAAGAATCCTACCTGGCAGGCCAGGACTTGGCAAACATAAAGCCCAGAGAGGAAGGAAGCTGGTGAGTTCTCTTTTTCTGCCCACTTTCTTAAAGGAAAGTCCCCCAGAGTTCTAGCCTCTCATGGACTCCCTCCGCCCCACTCCTTCCTCCCTGGGAAAGCCCATCCCTCTCCTTAACACCTATAGGCTGATGACGGTCAAGTTCTCCAGCACCCACATCGCCCTCTGACCTCCAGACATGCATCGCCAAGTCATGTCAGGCATCTCCTGCACTCAGCAGCCCCAAACTACACTCTTCTCCTCCTTCCCCAATCTATCCCTCCATCCGTATTCTCCTTTCTGCCAGCAGCAACCAGCACCCAGACCAGATCCCCAGGGAGAAACCCAAGAGTCCCTGGCAACTTGTTCCTTCTCCCCTACCACCTGCAAGGCATGTGAGGCCAAGTCTTGTCAGTTCCACAGCAGTCATGTCTCTTGTCTCCCTGCCCTACTTTCACAGTCCAGGGACAGGCCCCAAGATTTTCTCTGGCTTCCCTGTAGTTGCTTCCTCACTGGCTTCCCTATCTCCGTCTCTACCCTGTGGGACCATCTTCCCTGTTTGGCACCTTGCAGTGGCTTCCCCTTACGTCCCCCAAGCCAACTCAACCCCTTCGGGCTATGCTCAAGGCCCTCCAAGCCCACCAGCCCCAGCACTGTGTCTCCTGCCATAGTCACAACAACCAACCTGGTTGGGTGTCTCTGTGTACTTCTTGGTCCTCAGGTGATGCCTGTAAATATCTGTGTGGAGCAGGAGGATGTCAGAGTGTGTTTCAGGCTTGGCGTCAGCCTATCTGGATTTGGATCTCACCTTCATCACTTGATAACTCTGTGGCCTTGGGCAAGTCATTTACCCCTCTGTTTTTCTTTCTTCCCTTCTATAAACAGAAACAATAGTAACAACAGAACTTAACCCATGGGATCATTGGAAAGACTCAATGTAATAATTCACATCAAGAAATCAGAATATAATTAGTCCCTGGTAGGTAGCAGTTTTATGAAAGGGTTGCTGCGTGTTCCAAATCAGATACTCACAAAATAGCAAATCCAGAAAAAAACAGATTTCAACTAGTCCAAGCCTTCATTTCACAGAAGGAGAAACTAATGACAGGTGAAGGGAGGGTCTTACCATGGCTGCTTAGCAAGCCTGACTCCTAACCCCAGCCCAGAGCTCTGAGTCCTGAAGCCCTGCCCATGAAGTGCAGAGCTGGACGGCTCCCTTGGGCTGCACGGTCTCTGCTTCTCCCAGACTCTTCAGACATAAGAAGGAAGAAAAACTGCAACTTGGTTTCCGGCCAGGTTAAACAAACGAGGAGACATCTGTTTGCAGGTACAGCTGGGTGAGCTTCCATCCAAAGAATCTGTCTAAGACATTAGAGTTGTAATGAGGCCCTGGGCTCAGTCTGAGGCACCCCATTTACAGCATCCCCATTGTGTGCCCAGGAGTAATGGAAAAAACCCGTACCTGGAGAGCCAGGGGCCTGGGCTCAGGATACAGCTCTGTCCATGGGTGAATTCCCATCTCTGATTTCCAAGGGGCTTGGCAGAGACTCTGCAAATTGCCTAGATCCTAAGTCAGCACTCAAGTAGTTGGATGACCTTGAACAAGTGACTTTATGTCCCCAAACCTTACTTGTTCTTCTGTGAAACGGGTCCTCATAATAATAACTGCCTTATCCAGGTGTCCTGAGGATAAAGGAAACAGTCTGTGTACGCTCCTTCCCCCCAGGTAGTGCCTGAGATTTAGCAAAGCCTTAACACACATCTTACAATGGGAGTATCCAGCCCTCCTGTCTGCAGAGAACTCATCTCTCTACATTATCAGGCTGAGTTCCCTCCCTGGAACACCACAATGAAAACCCTACATTGGTCTTTGCCTATCGCACTTTTTCCTCGAGTTAATTCTGGAGCCTTGACCTTTCCTGCTGGGTGTTTCTCTGACTCAGACTGCGATGTCACCATGCCAGCCAAATGTGGTGACAAGGCCCCCTTCCCAGGCAACTGAGAAGTTTGAGGCAGGAGTGTTCTGGAAGCATCTCTTGAGGTGGGAGGGGGGAGGTGAGCCATCTGACTCCCCAGCATCTGACGGTTGAAGGGAGTAATTCCAGAGATGTCTGCCTCTGACGTCTCCCTCAGCAAGGGGAGAGGGTGTTCGTTCAGGGAGTCCCGAGCTCGTGCGGAAGCCTCACCCCTACACAGGGCTTTGTGACAGAGTCACCAGGGAAACGGTGATTCTGCCAAGAATCTCAGAGCCAACCAGACTGATCTCCTGGGGGCGACACGTACACCGTGCAATTGCATCTTACAACCACTCTTGGAATTTCTGGCAGGTGCCAGGCTCCAGCTCAGCGCTGCCTGGTCTCCTGTACCAGCGGCTCCCACTGCCTGCCTAGAGTGTTTGGGCACCTTCCCCACAGCTGAGTTCAAAGCTTGGCTCCCCATTCCAGCTGTGTGACCTTGCCGGGCTCATGCCCCCTTCCTGGGGACCTAGTTTCCTCACTTGTCAAAATCAGTTTATATGTTGTTGCTCTAGGGCTTAGAACAGCATCTGGCCCGTAGTGCATACTCTGAAAAGTCAGCCACATTGAGCCTCTGTGGTAGCCATTTCTGTGGCTACCATGAGAAAAGGGGGTCCATGAAGTCAACAGACAGGCTGGAGCTGGACTTGAACCCAGGCCCAACAGATTCCGAGTCCTGGGCTTTTGTGCTTTTTCTGGGCTGTGTTGGAGGGGCCCTTGTACGGGGTCCCTTCATCTTCCTGCATGTCAAATATGTACTGCCCCTTTTAATTGGAGATCTGTCCTTCTGCATCTTGTAGATTTTCTGGGATTAGAGAATCTCCAATATAATCCAGGTAGTGACATCTGGGAGGGAAAGATTGCAATATCATCAGTTGTTTTCATCTGATTCCCACTGGGACACCTCTGTCTAGCCTTGCACCCACACACTTCATCTGGCTAGCCACTGATGTGGGTGCTGAGATGTGGGTGCTGGGGAAGGGCATGTGAATGTATAATATGTATGCAAATCTCCAGCCCAGGGACCCTTCCACACTCCCAGGCCTCCGAGGTGTACAGTTCAAATTTATACCTCTAGCAACCACTTCCAAGGGTCTCAGATAATTTGAAAATAGTTTAAAATGCCAGTGTCCTTTGGGACTTGGCATAATCATCACCTCCTCCAGGAAGCCTTCATTTCCCTTTCCTCCATCCCAAGACTGCTATAGGTGGCCCTTCTCCACCTCTAGGATGTCAATACTCACCCTGAGCCCAGCATGGAGCTTCAAACCATGAAGTTTTAAGGTCAGACATTTAGCTTCATGCAGCTCACAATGAGTGACATATGGCAGGAAATTAATGAAGCTATTTATTTGCTAATATTCTGCTTTATTACAAAAGAGATTTGAGGCAACAGAATGAATGAATGTTTGCAGAGATGAATTAGACTGAGTCCAAGTGGTGGCCCAAGAGAAATTTCCTGGACACCCCATCAGGAAGACCCAGGTGAGAATTCGGACACTGGGCCTATAGCCTCCTAGAGCTTCAGTATCTCCCACATAAAATGGGGCTCTGAATGTTATGAAGCCATGTGCTTATAGCTGTGGCAGATCCAGGCTGATGGGACTGACAGTGGCCTTTTAAACTATTTTCAAATGAACTGAGAGCCCTGGAGGTGGTCTCTAGAGGTACAAACTTAAATGGTGCACCTTAGAGGCCTGGGGGTGTAGAAAGGTCCCGGGCTGGAGTTCCATGTGTGTTATACACTCACACACACTTCCCCAGCATCCACATCTCAAAATGACTGCATTTCCCTCTCTCTGCCATTGGGTTCTGAGGAACAGCAAAAATATTTGAAGAACCATATAAAACAGAACACCTCTGTTTGGAGAGTAATATCTAATGTCATGTAGCATTTATTGAGGTGGGGGGAATGGACAGATCAGCGTTTATTTCAAGAGTTTCAAAAACAATTATCGTGTACACAATAGTTTCAAAGGGGTCATTTTATTTTCAGTTGGTCTTCACTGCATGTTATGGGGTGATGGATGCTGCAGTGGTATTTGTGAGTGGCAGGAGGATTTGGGAAGCTTCCTGAGCTCTCCTCAGAGCTTGAAGGATTGACTGCAGTAGGAACTTGATGAATTTTGCCTGGGGCTTGTCCTGAAGGAAACCTGCAGCTCAGCAACCAATCCCACCCAAGCAGCTGTCGTTCAGCTTCCCAGCTGTTCTGGAACCAGAGGCTGTGGCTCCCAGCCCACAGGGCCCCCTGAGCTCCCGTAGGAGCCTGCCCCAGTCAGCAGGCCCTTTCTAAGGAGTAAGCAGCATGGTATCGGGATAGCTGCTTCAGCCTCCCAATACCATCTGGCACGTGCTAAAGCTGGGGCGCTCCTGTTAGCTGGTGACCTTCCTCATTTGAGAATGGACTACCCTTCCTGGCTGGCATGTGGGGTAAATGAGACATGCGTCTAGTGCTCAGGGCACAGCAGAAACCCAGAAAACTTATTCATCCTCCTAAGTGTCAGGAAAATGATCGGAAAGAACCTTCCAAGGGAAAGGCATTGCTGATGATGCCTGCACCAGGCTGATTTGGAGAGGTGGGGGCTTGTCAGCTGTCCCTCTCCCACTTGATGCTTATGGGTAGGGAATCTGGGACCCATTCTGGGACCTCAGGATATCATGGGATCACAGATATGCAGTCAGAGAATCCAAGGGTCTGAAAAGACTAAAGGCAATTTTTCACTTGGGAAGGAACCTGGAAGAGACTTCTCTCAGATTTGTGGTGATATTGTCTCTGAATGCATAAGGGGGTGTCGTTCCAGACAGAGTAATGCTCTGAATTGAGAATGGAGCCCACTGGGACTCCTTCCTAACAGAGCCAGGCAGACTTATTGGCTAAGAGACAATCATTAGCCTCCAAGATGGGCCCATGGCTCCTTTACAGGATGAGGGCATTCACTCTATGCTAAGACATTTTGAGTTTCAAACAATAGAAAACCAACTCTCACTGGTTAAGAAAAAAGGGGAATGCACTGGCTCAAATAAAGAAAAGACCAGAGTAGGGTTACCTTTGGTCACAGCTGAATCCAGGGGCTCAAAGAAAATGGCAAGAATCTGTTGATTTCCAGTTGTAGTTCTGCTCTTGTCATTCTCAGGGAAACTCTAACCTGGAGTAGGTGAGTCACTTCCAGCAGGTCTAGGTTTGCATCCTGCCAGCTCAGCAACCTCATGGAAAGGACTTCTCCGTAGTTCTAGGAAAAGGCCCAGGACTGGCTCTCATTGGCTATGATTGGCCACCTGCTACTCTTCCTCTGGGAAGGAAGAATTCTTTCCCAACAATAAATTAACTGTATTTGGAGGAGGAGTACTCTTACAAGAAGGGGAATTGCTGCTGAAAGAATAGGTGTCTTGCCTAATTAAAGCATGCAAGGAATGTCATACCCAGCCACTGCTCAGCCTAGTCTCAGGCTGAATAATTGTAAGTTGTTCTCCCTTGCATTTGTGGGCATCTACCTCCTATTAGGCTCTGTGTTTGCTGTTGAATGTATAGTGCATCTTTTTTTTTAAGATTTATTTATTTTATGCATACAAGAACTGAGGTACAGGCCAGAGGTGTGGGGGCTGAGAGGATTCACCAGAGATAGAGTGGGGGACAGAACAAGCAGTTGTACTGAAATACACTACTGAGGGGAGCAGCTGGCAAGCCAGGAGAGGTCTGCTGTGCCATATGGGTCACCTCCCTGGCCGGGGATCGAACTCATACTCCAGTGGCTGCAGGTAGCTTCATAGTGCTGAGACTTAACCCCTTGTGCCACCAGGGAGGCCCCCAGTGCATCTTCTTATGAGCCTCTGACAGTGGCTTTTTTCATTGACAAGTGGCAAATGTAGACGTACGGGATGGGGTAACACAGTTGCCCAGAATTCAAGTATATAAATGGCAGTGTTGGGATTTGCACTCACACTAGACAAGAATAATAAGCTCATCCTGGAGTCCTGGTAGCCTCTGTGCTTCCATTTTATTTGCGTTGCCATCTAAACAATCTTATGAGAGTCTCTTATGTGTAGACTATTAGTCATGTAGTCTTTCCCCAAAGCGCTTTGAAACTTCATCCATGCCTTTGTCTTTAGATGTCCTTTTTCCTGCTCACGTGACCTGAGTGTTCTCTCTTCCAAAAAGCTTCCTCCAGCATTGATGCTGGAGGCAGGAGGTGTTGGAAACTCAGGATCTCTTCCCTCTACCCCTTGGTTCCCAACTCATTGCAGAACACTGTTGGGTATATTGATTTCCCCTAGCTGGCCAGCTCTTGGGGGGCAGAGACTGTATCTCTCATTCTAGCATGTTGTACTGTGTCTCTCACTTAGTAGGTGCTCATTGCTTATCAAATGTTTCATTGTTTAGATGGCAACACAAATAAAATGGAAGCACAGAGGCTTCTAGGACTCCAGGATGAGCTTATCATTCTTTGGGATGATCTCATAACCAATAAGCAAAATCCAAAAAAGAAAACCTCATTTTATTACACTTGGTTTTATTGTGTTTCACAGATATTGCATTTTTTACAAATTCAAGGTTTGTGCAAGTCTATGCTGAGCAAATCTACGGATGCCATTTTTCCAATAGCTTGTGCTCACTTGTTGTCTCTTTGACACATTTAATTAAGGTCTTTATGGTGACTTCTAGATGCAGTGTGCACTCAATGACTTGTGCACACTTAATAGAGTCAGTATAGTGCAAACATAACTTTAATGTGCACTGGGAAGCCAAAAAGTTTGTGTCACTTGCTTTACTGTGATGTTCACTTCATAGTGATAGTCTGGCATCGAACCTGCAATATCTCTGAAGCGTGTCTACATTATTGCAGGATAGAAAATGCATCAGGTACTGTGCTAAGGACCTTACAAGCTTCTCCCACCACTCCTCCCAAACAGATTGATGCAGATATTGCTGAATTTGTAGATTTGGGGTTCAAGGAGGTGAAATGACTTGCTGAAAGTCTAGCACATAATGTTGCTGGATTTCCGGACAGTATGGTGCTGCCTGCCTCCCTCACACTCTCTGACCCTCATATCCAGGGTGCTGCCCACAAGATGGGTCCCTTATCATTTTAGGCTTCACAGGATCTATTGAGTGCTTTTCCTGTTTGGAGAGTCATCTACATTAGAAATTCTCCCTCCCCAAGATGGGAGCTCACACTCAAACTTCCTGCCAC